TTTTTTACATGTAGAAATTCCTGGATTTCAGCTCTTTGGCCATGGATGTGCGGTGACATTGTAAGTATAAACATGAATTTTGTGAGTCAAGTAAAGAAAATACACTTTCCTTTCCTGATGCAAGCTACTGAAAAGGTTTCTGCTAACAGCGCTGCTAAGTATTTAATATTTTGTAGCACTTACAGAGTCTCTATGGCAGAAATACGAACTTTATTGTCATCCTGAGTGTGTTGCTGAACTTTAGAAATTTCAGTATAACAAACACTTGCTAGAAAGAAACAGCTCTGTGAAGATTTGTGGAAACTAATTCCACAAGGTCTGCATATCACCTAAATAACATTTCACAGCAGGACTAGCTCTTTTTACACACATTTTTTCCTTAAAAATATAATTAATGTTGATTAGTTTGTACAGCAATATTCAGTTTGGGTCCATACATGAAATAACTGCTAAAATATAAATTTTAATAAAACATCTCTGTGCTTGCTAGAAATTAATTTATTTGGTAAAGTAATGTAATGCTTTTTTTTTCACCAGAGAAAAAATAATATAATAGTTTATTTAAAATTAAAATCTATACAGGAACAGAGCCTGGTGCTCCTTTGTCATAATCCCAACACCTCCGGTACCTGATTTCACAGATGTCACTAAATGCACAGTATGTATTGCTCCTGGACCAAATAATTTTGTTCCAAAGCTGTGGACCTAAAATTATCTTTAATTCTGCATATAATTCAACAGCAAGGAGCCCCTTGCAATTACAGAACATAAAACTCTAACTAAAGCTGTGGAAGTTATCTGTATATTTTCACTGGCACAGCCTGAAAAATGGGAATTCTCTTTTCTACACAAAACAAGTAAAGGTTACAGTCACCCTGCTGACTGCATCTTTCCAGATCTCAGTGTTGCAACAAATAATTTTGCTCTTTGGTAATGCAGAACAAAGTCTCAAAAGTCTTATGTTGTAAATCAGGCTGTGTTATAGTTGAGTAAGATTTTTAACTAATGTGCTAGTAAAGAATTTGCATTTTATTCACAAAAAGCTCCATCCTGAGAAATGGTGACTGCCACCTACAAGGTTCCTTTTGACGTCTGTATCAAGGTGGGATCAGAACCTGTAGAAATCCATTCAAAATGCTAGATTTAACATTGTCTTTCTCATTCTGGTAACTTTATTGTTTGTTTTTTGGTGATGGGTAATTAAGGACAGATTTAGGACCATGGAAGAAAACACAATTTTCTCCCACTTTATGAACATAACACAAACACCGAATTAAACCTAAATGCTGATGGCATCCCACTGATAGCTTTAAGAAATCAATAATGATCTTTGGTTTATTAGCTCTTAAGTCACTTCCATTTCTTTAAGAATACACATTGTACAGCCATTCTGGGACTCTATATAGGCATTATTTGTTTTAACCCTGATACAGCTGTCAGTAGATACTGAACTTGAGAAAAATAACAACATTGCTGCATTATTTATTGTTTTCTTTAAATCCTAAATGATAACCATGCTATTTACATACATATTAATAGGAGTAACAGTTTAGTTCAAACAAACCTTGACTTAAACCATCCAGACAGGACACCTGCTTAGTGTCCAGATTCTCCACTGGATCTCCTCTAGAAACTTCTCCAAAAGATGTCTGCCTTTCAAAAATATTGTTGTTATTGTTAACCTGACTCCCATTTTGCTTCATTAGTCTGAAAACTTCAGCTTCCAAGTCTCGTATCTGAAAGAAATACAACACACTGTTACCCATAACATATACACAAATCTATAAGATATAGATTTTTTTCAGAATATCAGACAGAATTGTCTCATTCTTCAAATGTGAGAGTAAATACTACTCACACGAGCTTGTAAGCCTTGAACCTCTGCAAGATGTGCTTTCTCCAATTCTTCTATTTTCTTTCGTTCAGCTTCCTGGCGTTTGATGAAGTCAAGTTCTCTTGGAGAAAAAAAAAAGATGTATTTGCTGTCACCAAAGAAATCAAAATTCAAACTGACAAGAAAATGTTCTGATGTATCTTAAGTGAGGCATCAGAAAATTTTGTCCTTATCAAATACTTTATTACTAACCCACTAAGAAGTACGAAACTGCAATTAGGGAAAAACCCTGGACAATTACACAGCCTAAGTGAATATGCTACATGAAGATATAAAAATGGTAAGAGGAATTTATCTGAAAAAAAAAAGTAAAAATCTCAGTCGTTCAATTGATAATCAAAATAGTTAAATCAAACTGATTTTTTCATAATCTGTATTGACAATGAAAACAAGGTTAGCTTTGTTTATGTTGTGTTCTATTGTAGGAAATTAAGCAAATTCTCTCTTTTATGAGAGTATGACTGTACTACTTCACAGAAAGGACATTTGTCAGTTTCCAGGTACAAATCTTATTTCCTAGTAAGTTATAAGGAAACCTGATAGGTGATCTTAGGAGTCTCAGATAGGTAAAAAACAACTGACTAGATTTTTTACTAATATAAAGCAGAATAACAACAGAAAGGCTATCCAAGCTCATTCTAGCTATTTTCTCTATTTCTTTTTATTTTGAAAATCTAAGATGCCTGTGACAAAAAGCACACAAGATGCCAGCTAGTTCTGGAAGAGTAATGAAATTTCAAGATGGGTAATGGCATTTTGACTATCTAAACCCCTTTTTATATGGGACAGGATATTCACTTCTGCATTCCCTGTTGTCACTTGACATTGCTGTATTGTTTCTGAGTTTTCTTCTTGAAATGAGTGTATTTCATCAGTAAATGAAAAAGTTGCAGCAAAAAAAAAAAAAAAAAAAGAAATTTGGGGGAATGGAAGCTGTTATAGAAATGTAAAATGTTATTATTCTTGATAGTCAACAGGGAGAGGGGACCACATGAAACAGAGGGTGCCAGGTAATCATCAGTTAGCTCAACTCAGCTCAAACATTCTTGGCATCTACGAGAAGAAGAAAATGTAACAAAACAATTGTCTTTTTGATGTTACATTAGTGCACAGCGGGAATGAATTCAGCTGATACACTGCCACCATAAATTGTTGCAAACATTATTAATCAAATGCTTCACTATGATTACTCTTGGTTTTCTACAACCACATTTAGTTATCTAGTAATTCTGAAACATTTCAACCCAGAGTACTACAGACAGTGTCTTTATTTAGTTAAAGTATTATTTTTCAACAATACTGAACCAATACTTGAATACTACTAACACTTTTCCATTAAAAAAAGTGAAAAATAGTGTTTACCTTACAGGTGTTTAATAGTGGGTTTCATATTTTCATATTTCAAAATATATCACACATAAGTTTCCTATCTGGCCACTAAGTCATTTGTTGAGCCTGGCATAGCTGCTTACTTTTGCTGAAAATCCTTGATTAATTTCTTTGCCTTGTTGTATTTCTTCTCCAGAGCCTGATACTGGCTTTGCGTCTCCTTAAGGTGCTCATTCACCGTGTGACACAGGGTTTGTGCCTCAATCCAATAACTCTCTAATTTCATCATCCTTTCCTTATTCTCCTCAATGTTCTGCTGGAGTTGGGTCTTCTCCAATTCCCACTTCACCTTCTCATTCTCAGCAGCCTGCAGCTGAACAAAAGAGTGAAGACACAGTCAGTAAAAAGCTGCACAGGGCAGCCTAATAGTTTAGGACTAGTTCAAACAATATGAGTAGTGAAAATAGTGAATTAATAACTATAATAGAAATAAGCTAGCAGTGAAAAGAGCATTCCAGGAAAAAGAAAACAGCCTCATACTATTCTTCCTCATAAAGCAAAAAGTAGAACCTTTGCTCTGTGTTCCAGTGCAGCCTCTATGCTTCTCTGGGTTATACTAAACACCATTCAAAAATGTCAATAGTGGAGTATTCAGGCAAACTGCAGGTCAGCGCTGGGGATGCATTTTGCTCTATGCATGTTGTTCAGGTGTTATAAAGCATTCACATACTTTCCTAAAATTATTACATTTCTTATTTGGGGGTGGGGAGGATCTGATTTCCAAGTTCTATATTTGATTTAAGAACAATTTAGAAAACAATAGTGAAAAAGTTAATTGCATCTAACCTATCTGCTTTTTTACCCGAATTAGAAATTCTATTGAATTCTTATAATGCCTGTTTTCATGTCATAATCTTGCTTAATCTACAAAGCCAAACAAAAGAGGCTGGGAGCATAATTCAAAATTTAACATCGGGTTGTAACCTAGAGTCTTTTTTCATTGAAGCAGGCACAGAGTTTTGCATCCAATACTGAAACTATGCCAGAACTATTACGAGGACAAAAAGAACCTGTTACAAATATATTACTCTTGTTTACTGAGTTGTAAGGAGCTAATATGAGAAGGAAAATATCCCCTTGCTGTTTGAAGAGTTCAGGTGCTAATTCTGCCAAACATCAGCACTGCTTAACTCTGACCAGTGCAGTTCTACTGCAAGTTCTGCTATTTTGCATCAATGAAGCCCAATTACTTTGCCAAAGCAACCTGAAAGAAGCCTGAGTTTTACTGCTGAGTTTATAATAAATGTTACCTCCTTTGCTAGTTCTTTTTTTTAGATTTTTTTTGTGTTAGGCTTCTTACTTCCCAACTGAAGCTAGCTGCAGGTGCTGGGTAGGGGTAGGGTTGTTCAGCAGCTTGTATATTTTACCTCCCAGAATTTACAGAAAAGAAGAAATGCCTTAATATCCCTGTTTACTTATCAAGACTGTTTAATTTGCCCTAGGCAGTTCTGCTAGTTTCACGGATGTTACACACACAAAGAAGATAGCTTGTCTGCAGTTTCATTAGTAACATACCTAAACTACCCACATTTTCCTTGGCTCTATTCAAAACACTAGCTAAAAAAGTCCGACAAAAAAAGGAACATTAAACCTAATTTTACAAATGGATTTGCACAGATGAGTGTTTACACCCAAACACCATTGCCATGAAGTCAGTGGGGCTCGGACACAATCCCAAGGGATTGACCGTGCAGCTCTGATTGCTACACTGGAACCAGAAAGCAGAGTGAGAAAAGATTTCTGACTTTCTAAACTGAAATGGTACAGCATAAATTGTCATTATAGAAAAGAGTGGCACTCTGAATTTGTTTCTAATAATAATAGTATAGGCAGATTTGATAAACACTATGCAAAATACATGGTGAGTGCAAATGCCTGCTAGAAAGAAATAACCTGAAATCTTTTCTAAAGTATAATTTTTTTCTTTGTCTTCTTTTTATTTCCCTTATAATGTACTCAAAGAGAAGGATGCCATTATAAAACCTGATATTACTCAACAAATGAATTATCAGTTGACTTTCCATAAAGGTTATCCTAGTACAAAAAATACAATTCCTTTTTATTGCTATAGCAAATTCAATCTAATAACTACCAAACGATTGTGAAAGAATATTTTCTGTTAAACTGGTAAGCTTTTTCCTTTCTAGAGCGTCTTTTAAAGAGAACTGCAACACTATGAAACAGCTCTTTTTCTTCTGTATATAAAAAGTAATTTCTATTAAATGCCTTTAAATAAGTTAGGGTTGTTTTTTTTTTTTAATGTCAAAAAAAGGAAACTAGTATAAACAGGATACTTCAACATCGCTGGTAAATAAGAAACCTACCAATATAGACTTGAATATTCAATCCAAATATAATTTTAAAACTGAGAAAATGCATTGGAATTGTAAAACTAGAAATCTGCCATTTAGTCATTATGATACCCCTTAAAATGTATGTTCAATTGAAGCCACACAAGTTGTCAGTTTCTCTTAATAGCAGGACTCAAGATTTTACTTGAAACTTTGAATAGAGAATACACACCAAGAGAAGATTTAGCTGAGCCACTGTGCTGCTTAATCAGCCTTTAATACGAACATTGACTTCTCCACCCACATAAAGATATATGTCTTTAGATCTGATTTTGCATGAGAACAAAACAGCATGTACTAACCATACATTGATTCTTACCTTCGTCTTCAGCTTCTGAATTTCAGCTTCTGTAACTGCATGTTTGATTTGCAACTAAAATTGAAAACATAAAATAAACATGTGAAGTCACAGAGAGTACTCCAGTATTTTTAAAGCCTGTGCTGCAAGTTGAATACCTTATTACATAGCAGAAGGCCTTGAAGAGTGCTGCAGTGCAGTAGATTGTAAATTAAAATGTCTAGCTTGCAAAATGACTCAGTCTGTGTAACCTAATTAAAGATAGGATGCTTTCTAACCACTCATAATTTCAAATCAGAACATCCAATCTGTTTAGCAAAACCAAATGTCTTATGCTTACAGAAAAAAAAAAAAAAAAAAGATTATATCCTGCTGGGCTTTGCTCTCCTCTGACGTGAACGTGAAACACCTCCCAGTGCTGTCAGAAAGTCCCACTGCATTGATTAAAGCAGGCAAGTTACAAATATGGAAATAAGTGATTTAGCAACTCAAGAAGTCAGGAAAACCTTGAGGGAAGATTCCACACATTTATTTCATGCAAGAAAAAAGGTAAACGGATGCTATCTTTCTCCACTATTACCTGGAGTTATTCTGCTCAAGCTAGCTCATCTCAAGTGAGAGCAGTTACACAGGGAAACTGCAAAAAACAGGAAACAGCACTTGAGCACACAAAATGACTGCAAGTAGACTGCAGTGTGCTGAAGGTTGTAGTTACATTACCAAAGCAGCATGCCACAATAACAGTGGATCTGTACAGTGACGGGGTTGGTGCTGAGGACACAGCATCCACCTGCATGCTTTCCAGGGGGAGTTCTTTTGAACTAACATACATTAGTCTAATCCTGTGGAGCACCTACTCATTAGCTCTCTGAGTATATTAGGCAGTGTCTTGAAACATCTTTACTTTCACCCCAAAGATCGTACTCTGAAGTACAAATGGAACCACAGCATCAACAGCATAACCTTAATCCAAATTGAAATGATCACGTACATGCACCCTGTACTGGTCTGCACCTGAATCCCTGTTGCTTTATTATTTAAAGCAGGCAGCACAGACAAACTTCTGATAGGTCTCAAAACCTTAAATCTAAAGCACTGTTTAATCTGGACCAGTGACTCCTCTGTGTTGGGTAAGGAGTTGAGGGCAAGGGCAAAAGCTGAATTACAGCCTTTAGCTGGCACTACAGTGGAGACAAAGCCTTCATCCATTATTTATGAATACCAGGAATAGTTACAGAAAAGTGTGTTTTACATGGGGGTTAATTCACTTACAAGACTAAAAGAAGCCTTTGGGAATAGTTTATGTTGAGCTAATGGAGTATGTGCTGGAGTTGTACTGAACCAGAAATTATAATCTCTGGTGAGGCAATGGCTACATTCTTAAAGACGAGGCTGTTAGCAAAAAAAATGTACAAATAATTCAAAAGAGAAGTTCTTCTGGAGGAGAGGAGTAATTTTCAAAATAACAGGAGCCATCATGGAGCTGATCGGTACAAGTATCTTTGAGAAAGGCCAAGCTACTTCTGAAATTCCCTCTTGATGGAGCCTCTTGAGTGCACTTCTTGTGGCATAGGATATGCTCGTTCTCAGATGCAGTTTGGTTTGCAAATCAGCCTTAACTGATCTACTGAATAATCCTAGTCCTTTCTGGTGGAGAAATATTCTTTTATGCTGTAAGGAATAAAGGAGACAGTGATGCAACCAGTTCCACCTGAGGAAGAGTTCAGAAATCTTCCTTCCACCACTTATTTCTTGGTCACTGTCTCCAGAGGAGACTGTAAGCACTTCTAGTTTCCAGGGTCATGTTACTTACACTCACTTTTTGACTTTGCACTGAAAAGTGTAACAAATCTTCAAGTGCTCAGTGAAAGCAGATATAAGATCTCATTTACAGTCACTGACCCTAACAGCTTGTAGAAACATGTAAAATGTGGAGGCACACCAGGCGCACTACTGGGTGGAACATGCACGGGGCCAGACTGAAGCTGCCCCGAGCACCTAGCTCACCCGCGGATCACACAGGTCTCCCGAGGAAGTGCCTCATGAGAGCAGGGCTACTGGTCCAAGACAGAGAGATGCCAGTGCAGCTGGCAACAGGGCACCCGGCAGCCCTGGAGCTGGTGTTAACAGCAAGACGTGGCTAGTGGTGCTACTGCACCCAGTAGACCAGGAAGCTGAGAAGGATATCTACCTTTTTGCAATTATACATAGTAGGGGAAACTAAGGAGATATTTCAATTAGCATTTGCAAGAGGTTACTTGCAATTTTTGAGCTCACTCACTCCAACCTCTGATCTGCAATCTTCAGAGACTGAGAACTGTTTTTTCTCATCGTCTGTTTCTGTTAGTAGTGAAAAATTACAAAAGAACCATCTCAAAATATTATGGTGTTTGTAAAGTGGCCAGGCCTTTCTTTAGTTCTGCTACCTCATTGTTTTGCGGTGAGATAAAACCAGGGGAAGGATGGATGAGCTGGACTTTACCCTTTGCAGAGTTAATAATGAAATCAAAAAGCCAAGACTCAAAGCCTTAGGCTACCTGCTTACAGTCCATTCCCATCTCTTCTAAAAGCCCACAAACCCATAAGCAGCACTTAAACAGCTTATTATTACATACAAATAAACCCAAATTGTTGCATAAATGACAATCTGCTCAGGTACAGATGGTTTTAACAGTTATTTTTATACTCTCTCTTATTAAGTTAAAAAAATGAATACTGAGCACCCAGTCAGATCATTGAATCAGTACATGGTACAGCACATCCCACTGAGGCAGAAGAAAAAAGACAC